ACCAGGTGAGCCGCGGCCGCGCGGGGACAGCCGGGCGCTGCACCCCCTGCAGCTGCGGAGGGTCTGTGCGAGGCCGGGCAGCCCAGGGGGACGACTTGGTGCAGCTGCGGAAGGTCTGTGCAGCGGCAGGCGGCCGGGAGGGACGGTCTGTGCGTGGCTGGGACTGTCTGGGGGGACGACCTGCTGCAACCGGGGACTAGTCTGAGTGGCCGGGCAGCCTGGGGGAGAGGGGATCGACCTGCCGCAGTCGGGGACGGTCTGTGTATGGCCAGGCAGCAGACGGAAGATCCGCTGCAGCTGGGGACAGTATGCATAGCTGGGGCAGCCGGGAGGAAACGACCTGCTGCAACCAGGGACAGGACTGTGCATGGCTGGGGCAACCCGGGGGGAGGGGCACGCCCTGCTGCCGCTGGGGACCGTCAGTGCATGGCCGGGGCAGCCAGAGTGAAGAGCGGCTGCAGCCGGGGACGGCCTGTGCAAGGCCGGGGCAGCCGGGAGGGAAGACCCACTGCGGCCCAGGCAGCCCAGGCCTTCCCCAGAACCCGCCCGCGGCCGAGTGCATGCCCGGTTACAACGCAGTCTTTGTTCCTCCGGGTTCCAAAGTTGCCACGCGCGAGGAGCATGGTGGATCTGACTGAGCAAGGGTTCCTGGGCGAGGTTTTGCGTTCTGGGAATTGAACTCCGGGTCTCCCAACCTGCTAGGCAAGCGGTGGGACACTGAGCTGCCTCCTTCCAGCCCGACTGATGTTTTGTGAAGCTGGTGCAAGGCTCGAGCTTTTTTTGCACAGGAGCTGCTATAGGTTCACGTGGGTGCGGGCTTAGCGTCTTCGAGGAGCACTAGTTTCCAAGTCTGACTTGGTAGGCGCCGTTTGTAATAAAAACGTGGGTGAAGGGAATGGGGTGAGCCAACATCTGTTTACTTTCCCAGTTTGTCTTGGTGCAGGGACACCAAGGCTCTGTTCTGCTTGTAGCGTGTGACCAGGAATGACCCTGAGCAGGGTCCCACCTCTGGATGTTGGACACCGAGAACGAGGCTGAAAGCCCCCAGCCTTCCACGCTGTGCCTTTGATTAAGCTTGTCGGCTGAAAAAAAATCAGTTTTTGTAGATTTGCCATGACTCACAGAATCAGTCTTCTCAGAGAAGGGGGTGTGCCAGCGCAGGCTGAGAGGTTTGGGTTTTAGGCATGGTAGGGAGATAAACAATGGAATGCTCTAGAACATAGACTTTTTCTGTGTTGGGAATGATTATTTCTCAACCTCTAAGCCTTTAAACATACTTTCACTTATTTTTAAGAAATGCAAAATAACAGCACTGTGAACACTCAGTGGTTTTTTTTTTTTCCTTTCTTTTTTTTAAGGTCTTTAGTCCTAAAGTTGTAAGGGCTTTCTGGTGTGCTGGGGAACTTGGCCCAGGAAGGGGTGGTACTTAGGCACCATCACCTTCCTCCTCCAAAGCAAAGCTTTAACTGTTTGGGAAGTTGCAGCACTACTGAGTTGTACACACCGGTCGTCTGGAAGTGTGTATCTTCTCTTGTAAGAAGTGGCGTTTTCCCTTCAAATTACATGAAAGTGTGGCAGGTAACTTTGTAGGCAAAAGTGAAATACTCTACAGGAATGGGTCTTCCCTGTGTGTTACTAGAGGATTACAGTCACTTAAAGTGCTCACACCGCTCTGTGATTGGTGTTGATGGTTGCCATATTTCCTCTCAGGCATCCAAAAGGACAGAGTGTTAGGACAAAACCCAAGCTGTATTTTATTTTCATAGATTTATTTTTCATTTTTTAGATTATGTGTGGGGGTGTGGGTATATGCACATGAATGCAAGTGTCCTTGAAGGCCCCATGATCCCATGCAGCTGGCGTTGCAGGCATTTGTGAGCCACCTGATGGGGTGCTGGGAATTAAACTCTGCAAGAGCATTTATGTGCTCCTAACTACTGAGCCATCGCTCCAGCCCTGTATTGTTATTTTCTGTATACTGAAAGTGGATGGGCCAGGGAGATGACTCAGGTGATGAAGGTGCTTTCCAGGCAAGCTGGCAACCTCAGTGTGAGTCCTGGAACCTGTAAAGACAAGGAGAGAAACAACCCCACAGAGCTGTCCTCTGACCTCCTCATGCACATTGTGGCATGCTCACCCCCTCTTGTGGGCAGGTACATAGTCTCTCTCTCTCTCTCTCTCTCTCTCTCTCTCTCTCTCTCTCTCTCATACACACACACACACACACACACACTCACACACTAAAAATAAAAATAATTTAAGGACAAGAAAGTGGATGCCTTAAAGAGTAAAGTCTTGTCAAGGACTGCAGACTTATTTAGAATTTTAAATCTTGGAATGCATTGTAACATTTACTCTGTATTTATTGAACTTGATTAATCATTATCAGGTTCCAATTTTTTAAAATGATAATTAGCAAAGATACAAATTATGGCAATAAATTTATTGCTGATTTGAACAACTTAGGAGACAGATAAAATTTGTTAGATGGGAATGAAAACTAAAAGTAAAAAACTAAACTTTAGAATTGTTGATGCATACTTTGTATATAATGACGTGGCCTGTTGGGAAACAGCATCTGACCCCGAAGTGTTCTGAGACAATTTCTAGACGTGCTTTGAATTACAAACTCTTGGTGCATTTAGAGCTCCAGGGGGGCCAGAAGTCATTGACACCATTAATGCTGTAGCCATAAGAGAAGTCTGCTGGGATTGCCGGAGGTCAGGTGTAGCCTGAGGTCCAGGCAATGTGGGAGAACCGCCTGTGGTGGGGATAAAGCCCTGCAGGCAGAGGGAGACCTGGAAGAGTTTATCAGGAACAGAGGACACAGCTAGGAAAACGTACTTCTCAAAGGGCTGATACAAATGAAATTTTGTGTTCTATTTAGTACTTTGTGGATAATTCTGAAAAGATGACACAATTCTTCCCAAATCATTAGCATTTACTATTTACAAAAATGGTGAGACTAGCCCCACTGTGGCTCTGCCTATGGGCACGTAGGGTCTGTTCAAGCCTGCTTTCGTAGGAGAGGGCCAGGCACATCTGCTGGGGACTCACTGAGGAGCTTTGGAAGCAGCTTGTTCTGCACCTTTAGGCAGGATACTTTGTGTCATTGAGTTTCCTGAAATGCAGAATAAAAATGATAATATCAATTTTATAGATTGTTAGAGGGACTTGAGAAAATAAACGTGAGGGTTTGTGATCAGCAGTAATGTGTAATAATTTGGTTGGATCGCTTTGAGAATTTTCAAATTAATTTTGTAGGCCAGTAGCTTTGGGGGTGACTGGACTTGCTGATCTCTCATCTTTTTGCTGCGTTCTGCCGTCCTTGACTCACCGACTTAGGAGATAAAAAACAGAAAAAGCTTTCATGTATATAATTGATATTTAAAAGAATTATTATACCTAAGTTTTTCAATCGCCATGCCCAGAAAGTGCAGATTTTTTCGTTTTGTTTTGTTTTAGGGGCTGGGTTTGATACCGGTTTGGTATATGGCACAGATTTGCCTGAAACTACATTCATCTGAGTGCTGTGATTAAGCCACATGCACATGCCCAGCTGGGCCTCAGGGCTTTAAGCAGCTCAGTGTGTACTTTAATAAGTGACACCTAATATGAATTATTTGGAAGACAGTTTGCTGAGGTAACATAGAAGGCCAGAGTTACAAACTCTACTAGTTACTTGTTGCTGTGACTGCCAGGGAGTCCTTCAGGGCCTGGAAGCCAACGGGAGCTGCTCCGCCTGCACCCAGCCCAGGACTGGTGCTGAATGCCGCCTGCTGCCTGCCTCTGTCTTGTTATTTAGTCCTTCAGTAGTTCTGAAGCCCCACCCTTAGGATAGCACACCGGAATATAGGGTGGGTCCTCCTCCCTCCTATAATCTAATGGAGGAACTCCTTCACTGATGAGTCCAAGGTGTGTTTCCCTGGTAGTTCTAAACACCAGCATGTTGACAGTCTAGGTTACCTTCTGAAACAGTGACACTGGATCCTGGAGTTCACTGTCCACTGATTTTCTTTCAGTTGACTTAAGTTTTCTGTGACTAGTGGTAATTTACATTTTCTTTATTTTTATCGTTTTGGTTGTGAGCCTGAGCCTTTAACAGCTACGCCAGCTGTCCAGCCCGCATTTTGTTTATTTTTAAGAGCTTGCTAAGGAATACCCTTAGGAAAATTTGTCACGTTTTCTTATGTTTTTATTGGGCTGGCCTTGAATTCACTGTGCATTCCAAGCTAGCCTGGAACTCACTCTCTTCCTGTCTCAGCCTCTGGAGTACTGGAATTACAGGCCTGTACCGCTAAACCTGGGTTAGGTGCCTTTCTGAGATTAATGAACACAGGATGGCTTAACAACACTTAGATTATTTATAACCTGAGAAGTTAGTTGTGAGTTAATGCCCTTATGTCCCTATAAAATCTGTAAAAAAGAAAAATACTTTCTATTTTTATGTGTATGAGTGTTTTGCCTTCATGTATGTAAGTGCAGAAGGGGGCATTGGATCTCCTGAAACTGGAGTTACAGATGGTTGTTAGCCACCATGGGGGTGCTGGGAACCAAACCTGGATCCTCTGCAAGAGCAGCCAGTGCTCTTAACTGCTGAGCCATCTTTTCCTATGAAATCTGTTAATGTAGCTTGTGTATAGATATAACCTATTTAAAAAATCACTTCTCTCTTTGCTGTAGTTCAGTGAGAAGGTACTGTGAGGCTCTAGATGCAGGGAGCATGGTTAGTCCTGCTGTTAATATTAAATGCATGCTTTAATAACAATGGGAAATGTCTGTGTGGGAGAAGAATCAAGCTGTAATAGGCATTTCCGCCTACTGTCACAGAACCTCGATTCCCTAGTACTAGATGGTAACAGTTTGTCCACTTTTGCTTTATCTGGAAGTGTTCTCAGTTTGTACAGCGGCATTTGACTGAATAGAGTGGCCTGGTTATCACACCCCAATTCCAGTAGTGGCTGTTGGATCTGTGCTGTGTGCCAGGCTGAGGAGTTGCAGGTCATGCACCACACACTGCCACCCACTATAAAAAACAGTATTTTATATGAAACACATTCCTAAGGTTTGAAGGCTGTATGTGCAGTTTTTAAGGAACCGCCGTGTATCGAGGGTAGAAAATGTCGTAAGGCACCACTTGGAAGATGGAGGAGATGAGAGGTTTTGAGCGCTGGGCCGGGTCAGACAAGCAGGGGCAGTGTCCGTCTTTCTGATAAATTACAAGTAGCCCAAGGATATTATGAAGATGGCATTGCGTGCGTGATGCACCATGAGCTCAGAATGAGGTGATGCAGGGCAGACTCTGGAAAAGCCATTGCGGACTTGGTAAAGCGAGTTGGTACGGGGAGACATGGGTGAGGCTTAGGTTATTGCCATGAAGAGGGTGATTGAGCTGCGTAAAGACACCAAAGTGGGGTGAGCTGGAATGGCTGGGAGGTCAGGGCGATTGCTGGAGGCGGAGAAGGCTTAGAGAGATGGGCCGCCCCCAAGATTCGTCTGAATGCAGTTACGCCAAGAAGTTGGCATTTGTTGTGAAAGGTTAAAAAGTGGCCGTTGAGGAAGCATTACGGGGTAGACTTGTTTGATTTTGTGAGAGCTGTTGAGAAATCTTAACTCCGACTTGAAAGCAGTGAAGTTTTGAACTGTAATAGGTGTACTGGGCTGGGTTTGTCCTGCAACCTCCGGGTCGCTGGCTGTAGATAGTTGAAGGACGTCAAGCAGATTGAGAGTTCAGGTCTTGTTCTACTTCATAATGCCAGTAACTGTCATTTGCAGATTCAGTACCTCAAGACAAACTCTTATGTGGATTCCAGATTCTTTTTTTTCCAGGTAATTCACGTAATTCTTTATATTATTGTACATTTAATTATTTCCTTCTGTAAATTAAGACTTTTACTTTTTAAATTACAAATGTCAACTAGTAATTAGAAATTTTAATTTTAGCTGGGTGGGTGGTACACGCCTTTAGTCTCAGCACTCAGGAGGCAGAGCCAGGCAGATCTCTGGGAGTTCGAGCCTGGTCTACGGAATGAGTTCCCGGCCAGCTGGGGCTATAGGGAGACACTGTCTCAAAAGATTAGAAAAATTTTTTAAAAATTCTTTTTGTACTTTTGAGACAGTTTTGTCTTGAATTCCTATCTCTCCTGCCTTAGCCCTTTGGGGGTTGGGATTATAGGCACTCCCACACCTAGTTAAAGCAGTGGTCTTTACATCTGATAAGGAAATTGTGGACTGTGTTCAGATTTTAATGCTGACTTCGCTTTGTTTTAATGCTCCTAGTTTGCTGAGCGGAAGAATCTCAACACTTCGAGATGAAACTGCTGCTGTGAGTGGCGCTGCTGCGTCTCGTTCTGGGTCCAGTTATGTGGGACCGAGACAGGGAAGCTCATGTTTTAATCAGCACCGAATGGACGTGCATAGTTTCCTTCTTCTTAATGCTATGCATAGTGTTTCCAGACTAGAAAGAGAACCCTAGACTAAGTACTGTATATAGCAATTGTGGGCATTCATGATTAGGGCAACTAGGCTCTGAGCTTGCATTGGCAATAGAGGAAGTAGTTCTTTAATCAATATTGCAACTTTAATAGTCAGTAAACATAAATAATATTCTGCTGTTAGAATGGTAGAAGGTTGTAGATATGTCTTGCATTTTTTTCTGAGCTTGTAAAGCAGTGGTCAGTGAGGAAACGAATATCTATGAAGTTTCAATCAAAAAGTTGGTTTACGCCTTGAAGTGTGTAACATGCAGAGAGCGTTCTAGAGAACTGAGTTAATGATGCACTAACTCCTGACAACAGTGAGGAGCAGCAGAGAGGTCCGTGCGGGGTCCATGCACGAGACCTACAGGTAGAGGAAGGCAGCAGAGCAGGTGCGTCCGCTTGAGATTGTGTGAAAATAAAACTTTGAGTGGAGGTCTTACCTTTAATCCCAGCACCTTGGAGGCTTAGAGGCAGGGGATTTCTGTCAGATGGAGGCCAGCTAGCTGGGGCTGCAGGGAGACCCTGTCTCAGAGCAGCAGCAACTATTTCCCATTTTAAAACATCTGACTTTCCCTTTAGTCTGTGGTGCTCTACTTGTTATTTTTAAAAAAACATTGTTACGGGGCTGGAGAGATGGCTTAGTGGTTAAGAGCACTGACTGCTTTGGCAGAGGACCTGGGTTCGAGTCCCAGCACCCACATGGTGACTAACAATCTTCTGTAACTCCAGTTCCAGAGGATCTGATGCCCTCTTCTGACTTCCCTGGGCATTGTATGACACAGGTGTACTTAAAACACATGCAGGCAATGTACTCACATTAAAACGTTATTACCTTTGAAGAGAGTGAGATAGTGAAATGGAGATGTCCAGGTGCTGTGATTCTGGACTCCTCTGTAGTGGGTCCTTTTCTTGATTACCCTGACTGCAGTAGAAATGTAAATCATTGTTTTAATGATTCACCAGAATCAGATTATGTAAGTTGTTATCTCTGCCCCCAGTAACTAGTGATTCAGCAGGATAAGAAAGTGTGATTTATTCATGTTTTCAGAGTTCTCATTGAGTTCTGGAATATTTCAGATGCAGATGTTTCCTCGAGTGTGTTTTTTCCTCAAAATATCAATAATTAAAAAGGAAGAAACTTGGACTCTTAACCCAGCATAGAACTGGGAAAATGAACAGCAGACCCCAGTCTTACCAAAAGGAATATTGACAACTGATTGCTGCTAGATGAGGAAGAGCTGATCTTCCTAAAACAAGGGACTCTAGATAGGCTGACTAGACTCAGCGGATGGACTTGCACTGGGGAATGGCTGTGGACACTGACAACCCAGTGGGCCTTAACAGGGATGACAGAGTACATGGGCTCCAGGGGTGGGGGAGGCTATGGGAGGGTGCTATTTGATATGCAGGTATAAAGATGAATAAGATTGTTTGGTATATTCTGTTTGAAATACACAAAAAAAATAAAAAAAATGTTTGTAACATTAAACTTTATAGCTGAATTTCAGTTTTAAGAGACATTAAAACCAAGGAAATCTAACGTTTAAATAATTCAGCCGTTGGTCTTAGTGTTTCAGATATTAAAGGGAGAACTGTAGGTTTTAACTGATGATAAAATGATTCTTCACTTGCAGATATTTATTGACAGAGACCCAGCAGCATTTGCTCCCATTTTAAATTTCCTTCGGACAAAAGAACTGGACTTAAGGTAAGAAACTCACCTTCTCCAGACTGAAGTCTTGCTGACAGCTGTTTTTGGAGGACGTTCCATGAAGTGTTTTCCCCCAACTGCATCTCAGTTGGCGTGTTTGTGCTTATTTAGGGCACATCGTGTTAGCAGTTAAGGTACACGTGTACAGTGTTAGCGGTCAAAGCAGGGCTCATCCTCCCGTCAAACGATGTCCTCTATGTGCACGAGCCTTCAGACTTCCCTTAGCGATGTTGAAATGTTAGTGATGCCAGGTGTGCTGTGTGACTAGGACTCACTTCCCCCCTGGTTTTTGCTGCCCTGTTACCTACGTTCTCATCGTCCTGAGCCCACCGGCTTCCTGGCCTCTCCTCTTCTGTCTGTGTCTGTGTGTCAACATCTTTAGCTTCTGTAAAGGAATGGTTTCCTCAGTTAACTTTGATGGCTGCATGCTGCAGCCCTCTTCCTCCAGGCTCCTCTAACTGCTTCCGAAGCAGTCTCCCTGTTCTCTATTCTGAGTTTCACTGTCATTATTGCAGCCAAAATGATCTACAGATGTGAGTCTGATCAGGCTGCTATTCTTTTACAAAATTATTTTTTTTATTTTATGTATATTAGTATGCATGTATGTAAGTGCACCTGCGTTATACAGTGCCCATGGAAGACAGAAGAGGCCATCTGATCTCCTGAAGCTGGCGTTACAGGCAGTTGTTAGCTGCCACATAAGTGGCAGGAACTGAACCCAGGTCCTCTGCAAGAGCAGCCAGTGCTCTTAACTGCTGAGCCTTTTCTTCAGTGCCCAGCCTCTATGTAAACATTTTAAAAAAGAGATTTTCATACATGAATATACTGTGCTTGCATCATTTCCTCCCTCCCTCTCCTCCCATGTCCCCCACCCCTTCTGAAATTCCTGACGTGTTCTTTATTATTGCTACACAAATACACATATACATACACATACATGTATACACACATATTCACACACCATGCACATACCACACACACAAACACAACCTGAGTCCATTTAATACTGCTTGTATGTACACGTGTTTGGGGCTGACCACTTGGGACTGGATAATCTATCCAGGGGCTTGTCCCTGGAGAAAACTGATTTTCTCTCAATCAGCCGGTAGCTCTTCATCTAGGGTGAGGCCTGTGGGGCTTCCCCCATGCATGCTGGCATGTCAACTAGCATTGTCATTATGTTGGTCTTGTGCAGGCAGCCCTAATGTTGAGATTTCATGGGTGCAGTATCCCTGTCATGTCTAGAAGACACTAGGAGTAGGTATCCTGATCCTCTGGCTCTTACAAAGTTTCTTCCCCTTCTTCTATGACATTGTCTGAGTCTTGGGCGTAGGGGTTGTGTGTAGATATACCAGTTGGATCCGGGGACTCCAGGGTCACTTTCTATCTGCATCTTGACCAGTTGTGACTCTGTAGTAGCCTCCACCTGCTGCAAACAGAAGCTTCTTTGATGAGGGGTAAGAGCTACACTAATCTATGTATAAGGATAAGTATTGTGAAAGCAGTTAGCTACTACATCAGTTTATCAAAATGATTGTAGTAGTAGGCTTTCCTCTAGGATATATGACCTCTCCAGCTAATGGATAGGTTTACAAGACCCTCAAAACAATATAGAGTATTGCTCTTGGTTGCCTGCCAGAACTTGAGGGTAAGACCCTATTGCTGAAAACACCACACATTTTGGTTACAGAACTTGGAAAAATCAAGCTGGTACTGATCTGGAAGCACCCTCCCTGATGGCCAGCTCCCATAGTGTCAGAAAGAGCTATGCAGGCTGCCAGGGGAGAAAAGTTATCACTAGTCCTATTCAGCTATACATCTTGTGAACAATAATAACCAGTAAG